GTTCCATCCTGTGGCCTTGGACGGGCTTCAGTGAAATTCTATACCAAAATGCCCGGCGCTTCCCCTGACTTTGTCTTTGTTCTGCTAACTTTTTATCTCCGAAAAGCAAAGGGATTTCCTTTGGGGATTAAGCAGGGGAAACAACCTGAGGTAGCGATAGTGTTTCATTAGAACCATTAAGGAGCTCAACGAGAAGCTCCTTGTCGTCTTGGATGCTCCTGGTGCCCGTCCAGCAGGGAGCTCCCAGCCCTCGCCCCTCCGCGGCCTCCCCCTTTCCTCTCCCCTGGCAGCCAGGGTACCTGGGCAACCAGCAGTCAGACAGAGAGGTGATCCAGAAGTGACCCGAAAGGGAAATATGCTTCTCCCCCCGCCCATTTTCTCTGTATTTTTCACAAATTTTACAAGTATTATTTTGTCAACACGAAATCATTTTGAAATAAACATTTCAAAATCAATAGGAGCCATTCTCATTCTGCCAGGTCATGGTTTTGAGTCACTGACAGGAACAGGGGCAAAGAACAATACAGATGATAAATTTTCCTAATGACAGATCTGTACAAAAAATGAAAGTGAAGTTTCCTGTTCATGGAAGGCCAATGTGCTACTTTACAAATTTGTCCTAGGCAGACATTTTATTCCACACTGGAGTCTACAGAAGGATTAGGGCACAACAGGAAAGAAAAAAGATTTGTGTGAAGCAGCTACAGCAATGCTCACCTGCCCACACAGGAGTAGGTAAAAAAGAATACTGCCGAGGTGCTATTCAAGAGCCACACTAAAAAAAAAATCTTGAAATAAACAAGGACATAAATCACATTTCTATTAGATTTGTTTCTCAAATGTTTACACTCTGATTTGTGGTTGAGGTTTACTTTAAAAATGTTCAGTGGTAACCCCAATGACTGGATTCTAAGTTAACCATGTTTTTTATTAATTACTTTTGGAGTAAAACAAGTTCTTTGGGTTTTGTTTTTTTTTTTTTGTCTTTTGGTTAAATTTTAGCTTTAAAATTTCTGCCCTGGCCAGGTCGCTCAGTTGTTTGGAGCATCATCCTGACACACCAAAGCTGTGAGTTTGATCTCCAGTCAGGACACATACCAGAAGCAACCAAATAATGCAACAAATCTGTGCTTCTCTCTCTCACACAAATTAAAAAATATTGTAAAATTAAAAAGAAATTTCAAAGAGAAATTATTTTCATGTTCCTTATTATGACCACACTTAATATTTTAAGGAAGATCCTTCGTTCACACTGTCATTGTTTTGGTCGTGTCCCACTTAATTTGACATATTCCTTTCTTATTTGTATTTAAAAATGCTTTTCACTACATTTTGGGGCTTGGTCTCTATTATTTAGCGGATTTGAAGTTTTCTTTTCCATATTTTCTATGTGATTGAGCATTTCATTTTATTTCTAATTTTATTATTTACTCTCTGGCTATAAGGAGTATAGACTTATGATTTATATTGTGTGGTCCAGAACATGGTAAATTTTTGTTTAAAATACACTTAGGCAAAACAAACAAAAACCCCAAACATATTTGCTCATACATATGTTACATCTGTCTTATTAATTTTGTGTACTCTAATATCACATGGATTAACCAAATTTTACTTCTAAACTGTTGCTATTCCCAATTGTGTGTTGCATTTGTTAATTTTTTCTATTCATGTGCTTTGTTTATAAATTTAGAAGTTTTAGATGATCAAGTTATTTCTCCTACTGCTTTTGTTGTGAAACCTACTTTAATGGGATAAAAATCTCAAATCAGAGTCTTTATTTTTAATAGAAACAAGTTTGAGATTGGGCCCAAAGGAAATGCAACTGATGTACTATGCAAACAAAACAGTAGTTGTGCACACCTCCCCACCCACATTAACCTCTGGCTTCTTGGCAAGCCACTGACCTATTTTACTAGTAAGCCCAGGCTGCCATTGTGTTACTTGGCTGAGTCACAGTTGGGGCTTATAGAGGACAACCTGGCAATTACGCTGTGTTCCTAGATTCAACGTACATTCATAAATCCTCTGGTGCATAACATTGAAACCTTGTGACTTGCTAAGGGAACACATTGTATAAGCCATCGGGAGAAATGAAGCATGTAATGTATTGATGGTATAATTCCACTTGAGTACAATGGATAGACCCATCTGTTTTTATAATTAAATTTGCTATTGAGTTGAGCATGATTTTTTGTCAATACTTCCAAATATTAGAATAATTTTTTCCTCTTAGCAAACCAGGAACAGATTGTTTATCTCTCTGTCCTTTCAGATGCATAGAATTCATCCTGGGAATAATAAACTCCTAAGTTTGTTCTAAGTATGAATGAAAAGTTAAGTGAGGATCTGGACTGCCTTGTTAGACCAGGCAGCAAGCAAATAATACCAGTTCTCCACGCAGTCAAAGAAGGATAATATGAGTTCTAGGTTGGCTCACATTTCAGGCCCTTCTCCCACTTCCTGTTTTTGTCTCATCTGTATTTAGGATAATGATGGCAATTTCATTCTCAGGCTGAGTTCCTCTGGAGTCACTCAATGGCCAGCATTTGGGCCTGAACCTTGAGGTTTTCTGTGTCTGAAAGTCTAATCTCCTACATATATTTACTTTATTGCTCAACTTTTAAAATAAACATTATCTTTAGACTAAATATCACGCCTTCATTTGTTACCACTGTCGATGTAAGAACTTCCCAAACTTGTAGAGAATTCTTATATGAGTTTGAGTCAAAACTGATGACGTGCCAGGGAGCAAGGTCTCATAGGCTCTGAAGAGTAACAGTTCTGCAGTTTCTCTTATGTATTTGAAATCAGGGAGGGAACGTCAGGAAGAGTACATGAAGGTGGGAGAAAGCAAGATGCAGATTGGATTACAAAAGTGTTAAGCTCTTGAGGGTGGGCACTATTCCAAGGGGGAGTCTGAAAGGGGCATTTCAAAGGTGTGTTGACCTAGGTGCACAGAAGCTATGGGCAGGGCTTAAGGCAAAAATAAGCTTTGTTTTTCAATTTTTACTTATTTTTGAGAGAGAGACACAGGCAGACATCAATTTGTCATTCCACTTAACCTATGTAGTCCCAGTGCCCTGGCTGACCCACAGCCTTGGCTTATTGGGATGATACTCTAAACAACTGAGCTACTCAGCCAGGGCTAAGTAAAGAAGTGATATGACTGTGGTGTGACTACCCACCAACACCTGCCCAGTTCGGAATTTATGATCAGATCACCCTGTGAAGTTACTGTCCATAGAACCCCTTCTTTCTTGTCCACACCACTTAGTATTAGTTTGGTCCCTGTGTCTCCTCCATAGTTATAACTGAAATCATACTATTCAGAAATGCAGTTTGCATAAACAAAATGATTAATAGCAATAAGAGCTACATTTATGGAGTCCTTAACTCTGTTCCAGATACTATGCTAATCATTTCACAAACATAATTCACATTAGTATTTTCATCTTTTATAGTTAAGGAAACTTCAGCTTTGTGAGTACCTTTCCTAAAAGTCACACCACTAGAGAAAAGCAAAGCCAGAATTTGAACCCAAGTCCTTCCAGCTTTAATGACTGCGCATATAACTATTGATCTATACAAGTAGTAGCAGGTCGGAACAATGCCCATTCAGCTCCAAATATCAAGCATCTAAAATTTATGTCTAAATTTAGATCTAAAGCATCTAAAATAGAAATGCTATTTCTTCTAGTCCAGTCTAGTTTTTACTGCTTTTGTCTCTAAGTAAAGAGCAATGTTTCAAGGCCCCTTTCATTTATTCAACAACTCTTTGTTTAGCTCCTCCTACGAATGAGGCAAGGTGCCAGGTGGGGAATCTGACGATGACAGTTCCTGCTTTTTGAGAAGTCAGGTCACAGTGAAGAGGCAGAAGTGCAACTGCATTGCATTCTGTGTTGCAATAGGCATGCAGGAAATGGAAGGAGGGTTACTCTTTCATACAGGGCCTTTAAGGCGAGCCCCTCTAACAGGCAGCCTGGGAGCAGGGCTGGAATGTTGTGAGGGATGCCTAGGGACAGAGCATTCCAGGCAGAGGAAATGGCAAGTACAAATGCCCTCAGGTGCAAGCCTGTTTGCTTCTTCAAAGGGAAGCAAAGAGGCTGCTGTGGCCAGAGGTCAGTGAGTGAGGGTGATTCAAGGGGGAGAGGTGCCAAGTCTAAGAGGAGTGGGAAGGGGAGCACCCATAGTGGGTGTTGCAGGTGGTCAGAAGTGGTGGGGGTATTTCATATGTTCTGATGAGATTTGCTGAAGGGATGGAATGTGGGATACCAGAGTCAAGGATGACTTCGAGGTCTTCACCCTGAGCATCTGGAAGGGGAGTTGCTGTTTATTGAGATGGGAAGACTAGGGGAGGCACTGGCTGGTGGGTGGGCGGCAGAATTTACTTTTGGACATACTTAGAAGTGCCCACTAGTTTCCCAATTGGTGATGTTGATCAGGCAGTTGAATATGTGTTAGGAAAGAAGAGAAGCTGGAATCTGGTAAACACCAAGGAGAAGCTGTAAAAGCTTAAAGAATGCGGGCGGGGGCGGGGGGCAGAAGGGGAAATTAAATGACTCTCTTGAAAAAGTTTCAAGGCATTTTAATTTATATCATCACTTGTAAAGGTCTGTGATGCCTAAAAATATGTGGCAACATCAAGCTGTAAGCAGTGGTTAAAGCTAGACCAATGGTTTCTAAAGTGTGGGCCTCAAGCCAAGGAACATCAACCTCACTAGTGAGCTTCTTAGAGATGCAAATTATTGGGCCCATCAACCTATGAATCATTAGCTCTGGGACTGGGTCCCAGGAAAACGTTTTGACAAGTTTTCCAGGAGGCTGTTATGCACATAAAAATTGAGTCAGCTAGATAATAACAAGTTTAGTATTTCCAGGTTTCAATCATTAAAAAGAAAAAAGAAAGAAAAGAAACTTTTTTAAATAGGTAAAATGTTTTTATTGTTTGAAGCATAAAAAAGAGTAAACAAAATCAGTATGACATTTCATTTCTCATTTAGTCTTCTCAGTGAGGTTATAAAAATACAATGCCACTTACTCTGTATAAACTCTTGAAAATGTCTAGAAGTTCTCAATATAATATAAAAAAGCACTTGAAACACAATGAGATAATAAAAAACCACCTCACGGATACAACTGAAATTATTCTGAGAAAAATTTCTAAATACAGACTCCTACATAAATAGGACTTTACTTTTTCTTTTGCCTGTTACCTACAGATGTCATAAATGTCGGCCTTCATCTCACACCTGCACCTTCTTTGTCCTCGATATAGGTTAAGAGAAAAGCAAGCTAAAATTAATGTTTTTCTTTCATTTAATCTCTTATTTTGCTTAAGATAAAACGAAAATCTTAACTTGTAACCAAGATGTTTCGTATGCTTGGCTCATTTTCATTTAGTTTCAAACCACAATTCTACTTTAAAAAAAAAAAAGGAAGACAATGATGTCAATGTTTTTTTTTTAAAGTACCTATTATTCAGCTGCCAAAATCACCCTAAGCAGCATTTCTGAAGCATGTGAACACACACATGTGTATACTTAGAAATATTGTTGCTGCATTGGTCTGGCTTTGAGCATAATGAAATCACAGTAATGTAATCTTTGCAAACTGGAATCACAGGTTAGAATACAACTCAAATCATTCAGCGCATTTATCTATGAAAGAAAAGATATGTGTACATCACGTATTTTTAACTTCACTTTCTTTCAGGTTGGTCAAAGGATAAACAATATGCACCATACGTTAAATAAAAATCCACTGACCTACGTCATATATGCACTGTTGCTAATTAAAAGTGTTCTTGCTGTGGAAATTGTGTTTTGGGAATTTTTATAAGATCATCTTTTCAAGGCATTGGTAAGAGGATAAATATTTTCTTTGAACTGAAAGAACTACAAGACAGATCATTAACTCATTCTCTGCATGTATGATGCTATTTTAGAGGTAATTGAATTATTTCACCCCAAGGGTGTTCACTAAAAAAATACATTAATTGCTTTAGAAATTGCATGAACATGGTTAATCTGAAATGATTTAACAATGAAATACAGAGATTTGGTCACTTTCCTGGTATACTTTAGACTATAAATGAAAACTGACATTAAAATAATACGGGGAAATTATAGAGCCACTTGAATGCTTATCACTTTATTACAGTAATCATAAATGATAATGATTTGAATTAGTCCTTGACATTGATTTGTGTATTTAAATTCATCCTTAATTCTGTCTTTTTCTGCCTTTTATTCTGTTGCTCACCCTTTTAAGAAATGCCATAATAATTAGCACGTGGTTGTGTTGCATGAAGCCTTTTGCACTGCCTTCCAGTGTGTCTGCATATGTGCTCATTCAGCGTGCCTCTGCTCACACTTTTCTATTTAACTTTTCTGTTGGATGGCGTTGCAAAGCTTTTGCTGATTTTCCAGGCAGTCTTTCAGCTTATCCTCTGTCAAAGTCAGTCGCTGCTCCAAGATTGAAACAGTCTGCAAAAAGGAGGACAAAATAACCCATGGTTGGTGACCTGGTGGTGAGGAGGAGGATGATAATCCCTGGAGAGGAGTTCCTTTTTAAATCTGGGATGCCCACCCCTTTTCCAGGAAGTTGGCTCAAAAGTGGGCCCCAGAACTTGCTCTGTTCCTGGGCCCTACCAGAGGGCAAAGCACTGTCAAGCAGTTTGAAGAAAAGAAAAAAAAACCAAACTGATGGATTTGAGGATAAACAGAATAAAAGAACAGGCTCCTGCAGACAATTCTTGTGTCTGATCTTCCAAAGCAGCCATGTGAGGAAAGAGGCCACATGCAACAATCTAAGTGGCCACAAGCCACATGGGTATGCGGGGAGCGGGGGAAGGGGTAGAATGTCACATGCCCAGCCCAGGTGCTACTTTAATGTCATCGCTGGTCATTCTATCACAATCAGTCTATTACAGATCATGCTCTACCTCCCTTGACAGCAGAATATCTAGTTTACTCTGAAAATATCGTAATTGCCACCAGTTCTCATACCCAAAAAAAAGGATAAGAGCACTTCTAAGGGTTGTTAGGAAGACCGAAAAATAATGCACGGAAAATGCTTCAGTTAGTGTCTGGCACACAGGACACTATGATTCTTAGCTAGTTTAACCCCTTCAGCTAATAAATGAGTATATGACCACACATATACACACATGACTACTTTGACATTTGGGAAATCTAATTTTATTTGTGATACTGACTTCATCTTCCATCTTTTACATCTTAAAATAAAAACTTTCATTAGAAAATAAAACAGACTCAGGAAGTTGCATAAAACACATGCCACAATGAATTCTCATGAGAAAAACACTGTTGCAATCAGCACCCAGGTCAAGAACTAGCACCCGCGAGCCACTGCAGTGCCCGTCCAAGTGTCTGTCAGAGTCACCTCTCCTGCCCGCCCCCAGAATAGTTACTATGCTGACCACTTCAGTAATCACTCTCTTGTATTTATTATTTTATCTTTCAGGTGACATCCTTAGACACTATAATTTTGTCCTACCCATTTTCAAGATTTGATATGCCATTTAAAGGACTTTTTTAATCAACAGGCTCTTATCCCTTCCTTTTCTTTTCTTTACAATTTGTCCATTGTCAGGCTCGGGCCATTTGAGTGCAGGGTTTCCATCGTGTGGATCGGAGGCACGGCACGCTCAGGGAGCGGCGCAGCCTGTTCTTCTGCCCTCCTTGTTCTCCGTCAGTGGGCAGCTGGATTCAAAGGCTAGTAAGACTGAGGCTAGAGCCCTTGGTAAGACTATAAGTGGTGCTCTATTCTTTCATTAGAAGACATATTAATAAGGTCTAATTGTTCTCTTTTCATGATTTAGTAACTATAATTCTTAGAGACTATCAATGATGATATTCTAGTTCCATCATTAAAAATATATTAGTTAGTATAACTTATAAATAAGAGACATTTCTCTCATCTACTATTTGGTTACCCAGTGGAAGATTTCATAGGGGAAAGGCTGGATAAATGCTTGGTTATTTTAGTTGGCAAGTTTCAAGACAACGCTCTGAAGATAACCATTTTTTTAAAAAAAATGTCATTATTTAGTAGCTTTTGCTTTCATATCTGATACCATAGATCATGACAATTTAAAAATAACAGTGATGTTTGTAATATATTCTGCCATTTCTTGAATGCCTGCTATGCATCAAGCACTTTGCCAGATACTTCATATACATTATCACGACTCCACATGCTAAAGCTGTTAAAAATATTATCAATACCTTTAACACTGGTAGACCCCGTTAATCTACTGTCTAAAACATAATTTCATTTTAATTTTTTTCTAATTATCGTTCAATAAAGATAGTTATAAACACTGCCACTGAGTTAGAGATTTGGCCATCTGTACTGAAAGGGAATCAGGGAATGTTCACCTTACTCGGTACTTGCCCACAGATCCGCTGTTCCCATTTTGCAAGTGTGCTGTGCCTGCTTTTAACCACTTTCATACATAAAAGCCAGTTGGCTACTCAAAATTAATGATAAAAAAATAACAGAGACATTCAGTAAAGGTGAAAGGGATTCATTTATCCATGACTCAGGTGAAAATAAGGAGAGATGGGCCATGAAGCTGAAAGTGTGAAGAATGGAAGGATTCACGTGGGACAGATCCTTACGAGGACCCACCATCACAGGCAGGGGGTCAGCTGAGGAACCCACGGTGATCGGGGAACCAAGGCAAACCAAACTGAATTTGGCATGAAGCTGAGGGTTTCACCCAGTATTTAGTGGCTCTAAACCCTGTCTATCAGACAAAATCATATGGGGTGACTGAAAGACCAATGTAAATTAATTCTCTGGAGACGGGAACTGGGCATCTGTATGCTTTTTAACTGTTCAGGTGATTATAACGTACAGCCAGGGTTGAGAAGAGAATTAGATGGTTTTTATGCGAGAGCTATTTCAACTTGAAATATCTGACCTGTAAAAGTAATTGATGTCTCACTAGGTCACATGATATAGCCTCTCTTTCTGTATAACTGTGACAATGTCCGCTCTGACGGCCATTGGAATTCTCAGTCTATATATCAAAGAGGAACAACAGGAAACTTCTTCAAAGGAAACGCTGAATAAGCAAAGCTGGAAGAGAAACCTCTGGTGTATCAATTTCAACCAACCATGTCCCCTAAATGACAGCTGTCTCTCCTGACCAAGAGTTGGAAGACATCCATAGTATTCCTTCTTTGCAAAGGTAAACTGGCATCAAAGGACTAAGTGAGACTCTAAAATGAGACTGCAAAACCCATCACTTCCAGAACCCAGTGTCGATGTAAGAAGCTTTGGAATGAGGGAAGTTATGTACTGGATAGGAAGAATATATTCAGAATGAAGAACTGTAAACACTGCCAATATTTTATTCTAACTAGAACTGGTTAATCCCAATACATTTGTGTTATGGCCCTAAATATATTGTTGGCAATGTTCTATTCTGAACACATCAAAAATTCTCAGGGTAAAACATTACTGCCCAGAATCAAACACATTTGGAGCATGGAGTGCTGCCACCACTATTCTTCATGGCCTCCACTGCTCCCTCTGGCCCCTGGATGCAAGGTAGAGAGCTACGTGTGTGCTTGGGGTGGGAGGGGCGGGGGGCGGGCAGGGGGCGGGGCAAGGGGGTGGTAAGGGAGTGGATGGGCTCTCACCTTGTCTCCACATGATCTTTCTAGAGCAGCTCAGCAGAGCTTGCCTTGCTATATGATTACCACCTTGAGCTTGCCTTTCTAAGAAAGAAAAATTTCCCCCTGCTCTGCTAGTTCTGCAACCTGCTGTAACCAGGGTTGTTCTGTGTATCCTACCTCCCAGTGCAAAGTGTGCCAACTAACCTGTGTCAAAACATTGAGCTGTTCCATAATATGCTCTAAAGCATCCGTCACAGCGAGTGGTATGCTTCTTTGACTCTCAGACGGGAGGTCGCTCATCTCTTCTGCTTTCTTTTTCAAGGTTGTTGGTGAACATTCTGATGACATTAGAGAAGGATTCAAGAAATACCTGTCCATCTCTTCACCCTTGTCTGGTAGAGTTCTAACAATAGTTTCTGTTGTCTTCAACAGCACAGAAAAAATAGAAAGCATTATATTTTTCAAACTTTTAAAATAATATATATAAAAGTTTACAATATTCTCCTTCTAAAAGCCCAGTTTTCCGTTAATTGTTTATCTTCAACTATAACAAAGTATGGGAATTACAAGTATAATAAGAAAATAAAGTTAACAATAGAGAAAATGCAGTTTTCTTGTCTTTTTTTTAAAAGAACTACACTTTGTATGTATCTGAGGAAGCAGCTGTTCTATGAAGAAAAGATTGGTAGATGCACTTTTAATTCTTAATTTTAAAATGGTATCACACCCATTAATGTGACTATTATTTTTAAAAAAGTGGAAAAGAACAAGTACTGGTGGGGATGCATAAAAATTGAAACCCACGTGCATTGCTGAGAGGAGTATAAAATGCTGCAGGTCCTGTAGAAAGTTTCACTGTTCCTCAAAAAGCTAATCATAGAATTACCATATCATCTAACCATTCCACTCCTAAGTGTATATCTAAAACAACTGAAAACAGGAACTCGAGCAGATACTTGTACAGCAATGTTAATAGCAACACTATTCAAAATAGCCAAAAGATGGAAACAATCCAATATCCATCAACAGATAAATATATAAGCAAAATGTATAAACAATGTATAAGCCACAAAAATAAGTAGAAATCTGATGCATGCTACAATATGGATGAACCGTGAATACATTATACTAAGTGAAATAAGCCAGACACAAGAGAAAATACTGTATAATTCTACATATACATAGAACCTGGAATAGGCAAATTCAGAGGCAGAGAGTAGAGGTTACTGTGAGTTGGGAGGAGGGGAATACAGAGTTATGTACCTATTGCTTATGGGTACAGAGTTTCTGTTTGGAATGATGAAAAAATTCTTAAAATAGATACTGGGAATGGGTATACAACATTGTGAATACTTAATGCCAATGAACTGTATACTTAACAACTAAAATGTTAAGTTTTATGTTATATATATATATATATATATCAGCATAATAAAATAAAAATCAAACAAAAACCTCAAAATATATGGCAGTGAACATTCTGAAAATAAAATTAAAAAAACAATTCCGCTTACAATAGCATCAAAAAGAATAAAATACTTAGAAATAAATTTAACAAAAGAAGTGCAAGACTTGTACTGAAAACTACAAACCACCACTGAAAGAAACAGAAGAGATCTAAATAAATAGAAAGACATCCAATATCCCACTCTCATGAACCACGAGACCTAATATTGTTAAGATGGCAATACTTCCGAATTAACATATATGGATTCAATCCCCTCCCTATCAAAATCCCAGCTGCCTTTTTCAAAGAAATTGACAAGCTGATCTAAAAATTCATTTAGAAATACAAGGAACCCAGATGAGCCAAAATAGTTCTGACAATCAAAGTTGGAGAGCTCACACTTCCTAATTTCAAAACCTACTACAAAACTAAAGTAGTCAAGACAGTGTAGCACTGGCATAAAGATAGACATACAGATCAGTGGAAGGGAATTCAGAGTCTAGAAATAAACCCTTCCATTTACGGTCATTTCATTTTTGACAAAGGTGCCAAGACAATTTAATGGGAAAAGCACTGTCTTTTCAACAAATGATGCTGGCAAAACTGGGTAACTTAATTCAAAAGAGTGGATTTGGGCCCCTCCCTCTCATCACATACATAATTAACTCAAAATGGATCATAGACTTATATATAAGAAAACTGTAAAAATCTTAAAACACAAAAGTAAATTTTCCAGATCTTGGACTAGATAGAGGCTTCTTATATATAACACCAAAAGCACACATGACAAAAACAAATAAATGATTTGAACTTTATCAAAATTAAAAACTTCTGTCCTTCAAAATTTACCAACGAGAAAATGGCAAAAATACCCACAGAATGGGAGAAAATATTTGCAAATCATATATTTGATTAGAGACTTGCACGAAGAACATATAAAGAACACTTAAATTCAAAAATAGAAAGACAAATAACCCAGTTAAAAAATGTTCAAATGATTTAAATAGACACTTTTCCAAAGGCTTTACACAAATGGCTAATAGCACATAAAAAGATGCTCATCATCATTAGGAAAATGCAAACCAAAATTACAATGAGATACTACTTCATACTTACTAGGATGACTAAAATAAAAAGAACAGAATACTAAGTGTTGGTAAAGAGTAGAGAAATTGGAGCCCTAATACATTGCTGGTGGTACTACAAAATGAGGCAGTTTGGTAGTTCCTCAAAACGTTAAACACAGAATTACAAGATGATCCAGCAATTCCACATCTTGGTATATGCCCAAGAGAAGTGAAAACATGCACCTATGCAGAACTTGAACATGAATGTCATAGCAGCTTTATTCCTAATAGCCAAGAAACTGGAAACAACCCACGTGCATCCCAAAGCTGTGATAATAAATGGAGACGCAAACTGTGGTAGATCCGTACAATGGATACTAGTTACTCACAAAAAGGAATGAAGTAACTGATACATGCTACAACATGGATGAATCTTGAAAACATCAGGCTAAGTTACAGAAGCCATACACAAAGGCCACATATTGTGTGATTCTATGTGTATGAAATGGTCAGAATAGAAACATATAGGAAGACAGACTGAGATGAGCGGTTACAGGGGCTGGGAAGAAGGAAGAATAGGGAGAGCTTGGTGATGTGTATGTAGGTGATAAAGTGTTCTAAAATTCTTTTTGGAGCAATGAAATATTCTAAAATTAGTGGTGATGGTTATACAGTTTTGTGAATGTACTAAAAACCATTGAATTGTACACTTTAAAAGGGTGAATTTTATAGCATGTAAATTATGTCTCACTAAAGCTATTAAGAAAACAAAAATCCAACTATATGCATCACAGAAGTTTGTGTTATTTTAAATTTTTAATCAATTTGTCATTTCTGGTTATCACTTGGGACAAGAAATTTTCTGACAGAATTTACCTCAAACATGGAAAGTACACCTCTAATGATAATGATAACAATGAGGAGGAGGAAGGAGGGAGAAGGAAATGACAATGAAGAGTAGCACTATGGACCGCACTGTATGCACCTGGCACTGTTTCAAGTGCTTTACACATCTCAGCTGGTTTAACCTTCACACTAATCCTACCAGGTAGGTTCTGCTATTATTCCGATCTTTTAAATGAGAAGGCAGAGATACAGATGGAATCATGTGTTCAAGGCCACACAGGCAGGAAAGACAGAGGAAGCATAACCAGTCATAAATCTAAGAGATGCCAGAGTGTGCCGGGTACTGCAACTTCGAGATTAATGCCATTGTTGCCCATGATCCTTCCAACCACTTCTAGGAGCATAAAAACAGTCAATTCTCTTTCTGTCTTAATCTTACTAATTCACCGTTTGTTGAAAATAATAAAAACAAAGTCAAACTCCACGATTCACAATTTAAGTTTATTTTTTATGTATGTACAAAACGCACCTTCGCGTTCCACTTAGCCACGTGTACCTACTCAGGACCTTTTCATTGGTTCCCCGGGCAGCGGTTTGCGGAGCCGGCCTGTGCCAGGCCCTGTGCTCAATGGAGAGGGCCTAACGGCGGGCAGCACAGTCCCAGGCCAGGCTCCCCTGAAGTTCAGGTTCTGCGCTTTCATTTGGTAACTTGTCTTTTCTACTTTTCTTCCTCAGATATTTATTAACACACATTTTGACTTTATTGTATAGCAGACTATATTTATCTCTAAAAACCATCTGGTCTCTCAGCAGCTCTCTGTACCCCCAAATTTTCCACATGTGTGATGTGCCTAAAATGTTAGTGAGTGACCCTAAAATACCAGAGTGAGAATGCCTTTGTAGAGGATGAAGCGCTCATTAAAATCCACACCCCAAAACAATCCCATTACTATCACTTTGAATTACTCAACTCCACGTGAGAAAGAAAAGTTAAAATTGTCCTTAAAATGTCCAGAATCAAAATTTTATCAATCACAGATCATGAAAAAACAGGTTACCATAAGGATTTCAGATGCTTCTCATTAAATATACCCAGAATCATCTATAATCTCTAACTATTCATCCTCTGAGCTACAGGAACTGGGGAAACACAGAGCCCTTATCTACCTAGGTGGGTCCCCAGTTACGGGCTGGTGGCAAAGACCAAAATGAAAGCACTTTAAGTGGAGTATGGAGCACACACCGCAAGTCCTGTCTCACAGTTACAGTCTGCACCCTCGATCCTAGAAAGCCCCTCACTGACTGCAGACGATGCCGACATGGCCGTGCATGATCCTCCTCACCCCAAGTAATTCCAGCGCAAAGGACAGACTTTGTGTTTATTCATCGTTTAACATCGCTTCTTCTCTGCCGGCAGTGGCTTTCTCTGCCTTCCTTGCATGGCTGAATCCTTTTTGATCGCTAAGTTTCAGCGTAATTGTCACATCTTCAGAAAAGCTCTCTCTGACCACCCTCCTGAAGCGGAACTTTCCCTTTTCTCACAGGGCATCCTGATGTTTTCTGCCAGAGCTGATCAGAGTGCGTGTTTACATATTTGTTCCTTCTCTTACTGTCTGTATCCCTTACTAAACTGTGCTACACCCACTCTTCTCACCACTCTATGCCCTGGACTTTTCAGGAACTTGAATATTTTTAAATATGTTAACCATTTATATGCAGATTTTATTACCATTCTCACTGATGAAAACCAAACTCTCTGTAACCAAGACAGTCTTTTTTTTAACACAGATCACAACATAGCTAAGTATGTGTACACATGCCTGCAAATGTCACTAGTCATATTATAGTAGCAGTTCCAGCTGTTCATGGGGAAAAGCCTGAACCTAATTAACAAATCAGCCCTTGAACATTGGGGGCTTGCAGGCAGGGTGGTTAGTGAAGAAAGGGCAATAAGAAAAAGAAAAGATTTAAGATCATAATCTAAGTTTCAGTATACCTTAATAAGCATTTTCTTGTTGTGACCAGCACCAAATACGTTAACATTTAATGACACACGGAGATGT